TCACTTATAGTACACTATCATGAACAGGAATAGTCCCTTATTTCTATACGCAAACTGATTTTACAGGTCAAAACATAATTTTAAAAACAAATTTTATGTAACAGTCACCTCGTATTTGTAACCATAAACTTTTAATGATCGAATAAAACGATTATAGCCATCATTTTCACTTGAAGCCACCGCCACCACAAGTAAATCATCTAAATATCAATTGGCATTATTCATAAATTAAAGGACATCTTCAAATACCTTGATCAATTGCTTGAGTAGGATAACAAAAATTGATTATTAAAATAAGAAGCAGTGGACTCAATACTCTTCTCAAGGTCATGACAAAACTGATCTGTTAATGGGAACGATGCGCATCGCCTGGAAGATGATAATCTTATACATATATATCTTGGAACAATGCGTCTAGCGCTACTATCAATTGCTTTTTAATCACCATTTTATTTATTTTCTTCTCAATTGAAAAATAGATTTAATAATTTCTATGAAAAACAATTCAATAATCATAATATTATCCTTTCAAAATGCATAAGTGCATTAGTGACCTATTATATAATCGCTATAGAGAATAGTTCATTCGGCTTGCCGTTGACCCAAACACACCAAAAAATTATAAAACCGAATTAACCAATGAGACCGCTAGAAACGTTAAAACAGAATTAAGTCATCTTTTCGAGACGAATTAACGTTAATGCACCAGTCAGATATGATTTCATTTCACCAATAGAAATAAAAATGTGGCGCCTTCTACATTTACATTTTCTCTAGCAAGGCTTGTCCCCAGGTCGTGGACGTACGGCGGGAAGCGGCCGGAAAGCACAGGAAAGCGCTGGAAAGTGGAAGCAGTATTCCAGTTGGAAGTTACCGGATTTTCTTCCTGTAGATTCCGATCAACTTCCAGATGTAAAACACAGAAAACTGACCGGAAAACACAGGAAACTGACCGGAATCCACAGGAAAAAATCCGGTAACTTCCAACTGGAATACTGCTTCCAGTTTCCAGCGCTTTCCCGTGCTTTCCGGCCAGATACGGTGATTTTTCCGCATCTTTCCGGCCGGTTCCTACAGTATCCGTCCTCCGGAATCATTGACCTGGGTCTATTTGAAGAATGTCAGTCATGATATTTCTCGACGTCGAAATGAATATCGACTATTTCATATGTTGTCAGGCACCTTTTACACACACAAAAAAAATTATATATATTATTTTTCATTTCAGAATTGCATTACAATATGTTCGCTTTGTTAAATCGTCTAACCAAGATTTTCTATGTAATATTCCCTCACAAGGTGCAATTCATTTGAAAACCGTTCATCCTGTACTACATCATCAACACACTGTACCTTCTCTTCAATTTCTTCAATGACTTACACCAACAACAGGTGCAACAGCGGCGCGTATTATTATAAATTCATCACCTTCAACACTTAATTGGTCTCATGAAGCAACAATTCAGAAAGCCAATAGTTCAATAGCAGCTATACCTATCTGAGTCACTTAATTGCGGATTCTGCATTTAGTCTTAGATCTACTCTATTGAAGCCATATGCTGATAAACCCAACATCCCAGGTGAAAGAAAACGGCCTTAAACGTCGTAATAACGGTGTAAGACGTTAAAAAAACGCGCCGTAATCCGCCAGGCCGGATTACGATGTCAAAACCGGAGAAAAACGATGGCCGTTTTCTATTAAAAAAACGGCCCTCAAAACGAGCTGACGGATTCCGGCGAAATAAGGTGAAAAACGACGCCTTATTTCCCCGTTTTAGACGATCGGAAGATTCTCCTGGGATGCCAAAAAGTGCCAGTCCTTGTTCAACTATCGTTTGAGCAGAGCTCGCTGTTCGGTTGAGAGAGACATTGGCTGTCTCAAAAAAACCGTTTTCGATTACTTCATCGTAAAATGGAACATGAGTTGGATAACACAATTAATTTAATAAAGGCAGCAGCTATTCTTAAGCGTACACGTACGCCAGCGACACTTCTCATGCATTAATCTTTTTCACTATGCACTTTACACACATGGAAGAGGCTTGCTTCATACTTTCATTGGTGGATTAATTTCTTGGTGTGGATGCTTGTTGAATTAAAACAGAATTAAATCTGACGAACTTTTGGTGTGTTTTTGGAGTCGTTGTTATTCATTGAAGAGCGTAAAAAAAAAATTTTTTCCCAACATGTATTTGTCATGTTGTGTCAAAGATATTTTTATTTTTTTTCAGATCGACATTAATCTAGTCGTCGTTTCTTTTTAAAATGTCAACCACGAATGGAGACAATCAACAGGATGCACCATCAAATCCACAACCTTTGGTTGAAGCTGAACCCGAAAAACCATATACCGACCAAGGAATTAATGAGAAAATTGTACAAAAAATTCGTTCATTAATTGATTTAGGTAAATTAATTTCAAGTGATATTGATAATCGTGTTTGTGAACAATTACGTTCGTTTCCTGATGATGCCACATGTATTGATTCATTATTTAATGAATTCAACGATTCTGATTTAACCGGTGTAGTTAATAAAGGTGCATTTCTATGCAATTTCATAAAACAATGGAAATTGCGTAATCCACAACAACCAAAATTGTCATCAAACGATCCACAATCATCACAAGGCTTTGGTGAAAATGCTCGTACACATAAGCCTGGTCCAGATGAAGCGAAATTAAAAGTAAAAATTAAATTAAAAACACGTAGATGCATAATGCCTATTTTGTAGTTAATTCTTGAACGAACCGGATATAAAACTGAAGTAACAGCTGGCCAACGTAAATACGGTGGTCCACCACCTGATGGACCCGAACGACCTGCTAGTCGTAGTGAAGTATGCAGATTTTTTTAAGAGAATATTTTGTTTCTACTGTATTTTCTATATTAGGTTTTTATTGGTAAACTTCCACGTGAAATATTCGAAGATGAATTGATTCCTCTATGCGAAAAAGCTGGAAAAATTTGGGATCTACGTTTAATGATTGATCCAGCATCAGGTTTCAACAAAGGTTACTGTTTTGTCACATACTGTTGTCAAGGACAATCAACAAAAGCCTGTGAACAAGTAAGGGGATTTATTTTAAGATTTGTTAGAGATCCTTCTCATTCTATATCGTTTTTATTAGTACAGTAATGAGAGTAAGCAACACGTCTGGTTTCCTTTAATTTAATTCCCATGGAATTATATTGACATTCTTTCTTTTTCTCTCTAGCTCAATGGTTATGAAATACGACCAGGAAAACCTATTAAAGCCAATTGTAGTGTTGCCAATCTTCGATTATTTATTGGTAATATTCCTAAAACAAAATCCAAAGAAGAAATTAAAGAAGAATTAGGAAAAGCAGTTGAAGGTGTAAACGAGGTTATTATTTATACACCAGCGGATGAAGCTGATAAGAAAAAAAATCGTGGATTTTGTTTTGTTGATTTCGATACACATAAAAATGCTTCGGCTGCTAAACGAAAATTAGCCAATGGCCGTGTTCGAGTAAGGCAAACGATTTATTCGTTGATCTATGAAGAATAAAAGAATAATTTAAGGTATTCAATCGTGATATTGCTGTTGATTGGGCAGATCCAGATGAAGAACCTGATGAAGATATTATGTCACAAGTGAAAGTATTATATGTACGCAATTTAACATCCGATGTATCTGAAAATGATGTCAAAGATTTCTTTTTACCCTATGGAAATATTGAACGTGTAAGGAAAGTTCGAGTAAGTTGCATCATTTTCCAAAAAACTAAAAATTTCATTTTAAATGAATTCTATCGACATGTTTATAGGATTATGCTTTTGTTCACTTCGATAAACGAGATGATGCATTGAATGCTATGCGTGCACTAAACGGAAAAGTAAAAGAATAAATAGACGGTTTTCATATTTGAATTATCGTCATTTAATTTTAAGCTGCTTGGCCGAAACACAATTGAAGTTAGTTTAGCTAAACCATTAAGTGATAAACGAAAACAAGCACAAACAAAACGTGAACAACGAAAACCTTTTGATGGACCTGTTAATCCACGAAATAATTTTGACAATAATTCATCGAGTGGTTTTGGTGGTGGATCATCTTCAGGAGGTTTCGGTGGCTTCGATAGTGATTTACCGCGTGGAAGCGGTGGACGATCGGATAATTCATTCAGTTCGTATCTAGTTATACATATGAGTCAATGATATCTACAGTGTTCAATATTTAGATGTGAATAATTTCGGTGCTTTTGGTGGAGATAACTTTATGGGAAGTGGACCAACTCAAACACCACCACCACCACCTCCATCATCATCATCGTCGTCTTCACGTGGTGTATCATCTCAACGAGGAAATAATCGTGGTGGTGTATGTAGCTGACTTTTGAATTGTTCAATACGAAAATTGACTTTATTTTTAGCGTTCTGGTGGCGATCGAGGCGGCTATTCAGGTAATAATCGTGGAGGTGGATTTAATTCAGGCAATCGAGGTGGAAGCGGTAATTTTAATCAAAATAATCGTGGAGGATATAATAATAATAATAATAGTTATCGAGGAAACCACGGTGGACCGTCACAGCATGTAAGAGAAAGAAATTCTTGTGTATTTTTACTTTTATTTTTTTTCAAGAATAACTCCGGTGGATATAATAATAACAGTGGTTTCAATCAAATGGGCGGTGGATTTAATTCCCAAGGTTGAATCATATATTACTATGATAGAAATACGTTAGAAGTTCGTTTTTATTCTATTTAGGTGACTTTGGCGCATTCAATAGTCCATCACAAAACAACAACAACAATAATAATAATAATAATCAATCGTTTGGTCGGCCATCGAATCAAATGGGCATGGGCAACAATGGCTTTGGCATGAACCAAATGCACCAGAATCAATCTTATGGAGGTATGAAACGACCACCTAACCAGATGAACGATGGTAATATGTCGAAACGATCCCGTCCTGATACTGGGTCGTGGGGAGCTATGGGCGGTGACAGCAATGATAATTCCAATAGTGGTCCACAACAACAACAACAGAATGCCGGTGGAAATTGGTATCAAGATCAGGGCTACAGCAGCTCACAGCAACAGTCCAGTTACAGCTGGAACTGAGCTTTGTCTGTAGATGATCCAATGTGTGTGAGAGGTGAACTTTTCGTAAAAAGACAGTGGGTGAAAAACGAATTTCTCTTTCTTTCTCGCTCTCCGATTCCCCCAAAATTTGGAAAAAAATACCGATAATCGACTGTTGTTCTCACACACATACATAGATTTCTTCGTTTTTCGTGTTTTTCTTTTTGTTTTCTCATAAATGTTTATGAAGATAATTAACCAAAACCAACAATAACAACAACAACAAAAAAAAATTAAGAAGGAAGATTAGCGTTTTTTGTATAGAAAAACAAAAGCAAAAGACTTTTTCTTAATTAATTTGTTCATGTCTGTGTCATTCATTATTTCTCTCTGTTCCGTGCTTCTTGCTTTTTCGACCGAAAATGTTCATCGTCATTTCTCTTTCTCTCGATAAAAAAACCGATAAAGAAAACAACATTTTTGCCATATCAAACTAAACAACTATAACCAATATCTTTTTTCTCTTTTGATTTTCATATAAAAAAATTTAGAGAACGAGATTAAATTTTAAAAAAATTTTAATATTATTGTTTGTATGGAATACTGATTTCGTCGATCCATTGGAAAAAATAAACATATAAATATAAATATTCAAATAAATTGGAATAATAATAGGAAATTCCGTATAAAAAAAAAAGAAAGAAACAGATTTTTCCTATTGGGGTAAGAACGAATTGGAGTATGGCATAAATTATATTTTATTTTCAATCAAATTGATTAGGAAAAATAGAAATTGATTTGACTGCATTAGTGATTTTATTTCAGGATATGTGCTTGTTCATGATATGAAATCGATCTGATTTGGCTTATTATGCAACGAATTCGGCTACGCAAATGATTCCAACATATTTTCATTCATTGATAGTTGATTGTCAAAATTTAATGCTCAGTAATATCAAGAAAAAAAAGTAGGAATCTTATATCTTGATAGTGAGATAAAACATAGTGGTATTATTTTAGATCAAAAACAGTTGATGAATATATTCAAACCGAACAATGATTGATAATATTGTACCGAAAGGAATTTGTCAACCTTACTGCTGTTTTTCGTATTTATACAACATACTCAGTGAAATGTTGTATGAGCTTGATGTAAACTATCTTATCGTGTTTTAAATGTCAGATACTATTGCATCAGTTTTTTTTTATGCATGCCTTCATGTCAAATATTTTAAAATTTTGTTTTATTTGTTTATTCTTTTTATATTTTTTATGTGAACGATCCGTATTTGATAAATATGCATGGACTTGTTTTTATCTTAAAATTGTATAATATTTAATATTTTTTTCAATGCAATAGAACTAAAAGTATTGACTTGATTTTACTAGTTATTTGACATCACAGATGCTGTGATTAGTTTTGCAACAAGAATGCGAATATGCTCCAGTAGGAACAGCACACGATTCACATATGGGTGAATCCATCTTAGGTGTGGGTGAGGGTGTAGGTGTGAATGCACTTCTTCCCTGAAATCACCCCCTATGGCCACGCCATTTTCTCGATGATTTACTGTCGCCTACTCCAGGAAAGCACTGAAAATTAACCGGAATCCACCGGAAAAAAACAAATCCTGGAATTTACGACCGGAATACTGCTTCCAACTTCCACCGATTTTCCGTGTTTTTCGGTCGTTTCTCGCCGTACCGCCACGACCTGGTAGAGTGTGGGTATGGTCGTCGGGTATGATTTCAGGAAAGAAGTGCACTCACACCCAGAATTTGAAAATGCATTGTAAATGTCTAGATTCTAAAGAAAAAAAGACTTGTGAACATTGACCTTGCTTGGATTTTTCACATCTGATAGGAATCAATGTAATGTGAAGTAAAGTCTAACTCAAAAGCTTTGAATCAGTTTCAGAAATTTTTTCATGCGCTATTAGTTGTGAAATCTAATTTCTCTCAACACAATCAAATGTAGTTGAAAAGAAAACAAAATATTGAGTTTTCATAGTCAATTATGAATAAATGTTTATTGTATATACTTGGCATTGATTTAACTTCGTTGCTTTCGTTTAGATCGACGTATGGTTGAATCAAAATCGACCAATATTAATCAAACTTATACTTATCATTTTAATATTATTAACCTTTCTCGCAGGTGTATCAATTGATTCGATCTATGTGACCACGAATGATTCATCATCGACAAGTTGTACTTGTATTATTGATATCAAGAACCGTGTCCGGTTTTTGAAAGAGATAAATGATACCTGTCCGACAATATTAGTTACAAATGAATGCTACATGGATTTATCTCAAGCACCTTTATATTGTTCAATTACAAACTACTGGTTTATTATTTGGAAAATCATTATCTTTGGTGCTTTTTTACTGGATATAATTATTCCCATTGTCATCTGGGGACGATCATCTAAACCTAACATATTATTTTGTTTAGCTGTATTTAGTACCATCATTGTTACATTTTTCTTTACCGAATTTTTCATGGTGTTACTTTGCCAATTAACTACTTTACTTGTTGCGTGGATCTTCATGTTGATTTTCGTTTGTAAGCCGAAATTTGACTAAATTCATGGCTATGCATATGTTTTCTGATATTGTTGCGTGGATCACGTTTTTCTTATTAGATTTGATTGCACAATCGTCAATGACGAATAGCAATCTAATCATTTCTCTTTATTCTTCAGTCGACAACACGTTTGAACAAATAGATCTTTCTTTTTATCGTTTACTGTTTTATAAAATCATTGATGGATCAACAATGTCACCGTTTGATATTTTGCTTGACCAAGTGTTGAATAAAGCGATGATTGAATGATCTTATCTTGTTCATGTGATGCATGATCATTTAGGCGTGTATTATTTTAAGAGTCGACAAAAATCTAAGTGATGCATGAGTTTGAGATGTGAGTCTGGATGCTCGTGTAAGGATTTAAATGTGTAATTACTTATGGGTCTTCTCATAATCCCAATTCACACTCTCAAACTGAACGATGTATATTCGAAATTTTTTTTGAGTATAAATGAAAAATAGTATTATGTATTTCAAAACTTAAATAAGGAAGTTCATGAAGACGAGTCCTTTCAAGACTTTTTACTACTTATAATTATTCATAGGAGAACTATTAAAGATTCAACGACTTTATCCAATATTTGTGGGTATATCATTTAAATCATTGAGTTGGATATAAATACATGTAATTGTTTTCTGATGATGGTGGGCGTACTCAGTAGAAGTTTGAAAAATCTCTCAAATTTTTATATATTTTATGAAAACTATCTACTAAATTATTTATGGAATTGTCATCTATTCTTTGCTTCCTGCTAGAACTATGTACATGATAGTTATTTAATTTGATTTCATTATCTATTTTTGTATTTTTTCGCATCTATTATAATCTCTCTTGATTTTCTCATGCCGTAAAAAGATATCAACGATAAAATTATTGGGATTTACTGTAATTAAATGCTCATCAAATAATCAAGAAAAAAGAAAACTGATCTGAACAACAAGTCTCATGGAAATCTATTCCATAAAAATAACGAAAAACTTATCGGTTAAATGCATTGCTTGATTTCGAAGTTATTTTGAATTTGTTGAATAGAGACATACGCTGATCGACAAGTCCCTATAATAACATGAGATGTTACAACCATTTTCGGTAAAGCTTATGGTGTACTATCTCAATGATAACTCAGTAAAGTCACCGGCTTGTGTTGTTTTAATTTTAATGAAATGCATCCTGCTCTTGAATATTTAGTAAAATAAGAAAATAAGTATTATGATATAGTTGTATGCGTCGAGATCAATGAAGGGAAATGCAAAAAGATTTACTCTCATGAAGATTATAAGTAACTTACATATATCCCTTTTCACTAAAAGTTTAAAATCTTGGATATGAGTGTGTGAGTTAGATCTGCCGACGATCCCCGACAACGTTTTTTTTTGTTCTGGCGAGACTTCATTAGATGGCAACTCTATATGATATGTATCATAAGTGAAAATGTTGAGGGTGGAAATGTCAACAACACACCGAAATCATCTGAAATAGTACAAGAAAAAGAAATACTGTAGATGTATCTCGTTCTTGCTATGGTCGTCCAGAACGTCAAAGATAGATGCATGCAATTTCTCTTTCCGGCTTTTTTTTAAGGGAAAAATATTTTCCAGTAGTAAAAACAATACAAAATTCCCTTAGAATATTTCTGGTTACATGCCGCCTGCTTAAATATTAGATTTATCTATCATACGAAGAATTTTAATCAGAGGAATTCATACTCCCATTCGAGATAAACATGATTGATTAGCTCGCACTAAAAGGAAGAACAGAATTACAATGAGAGATTTTCTTAGAATTCTAATCTTGAAGTCTACTCACACTCTCTGCACATTAATGTTCGATAATTCATAAAAAAACGAAATTATTTTTCATCAAATTCGATTGTTAAAACATTATTTTAATCAGCTTAATGTTGTACAAAAGCTCTTGAACTTCGATGTTTTCTCTTTGGTCTTAGTTCAGTTGCTAAAAGAATCATTTCATGATTAATCAAGAGAAACTTTTCTTTAAAAAACACCGGCTGTATCATGGATATTATAATTTGACTGAGAAAGGATTGTTCTCCGATGTGAAAGCAATGGACTTTTAATCTTATTGTTTAGGTCTGACATAGTTATTCACAAACAGTAATCAGTGGAGATTTTTCTTCTGTTTTGGTATTATGCTGTTTTTGAAGCTATAGGCGATGTTTCCGATGTAAAGAAAAAGGATCTATTTATATTCAATTGAAATATATCTTTCAAACGACTAGCCAAGAAGAGTAACAATAATTCTAGTTGAAACTCTGAAGAATGTATGATTGAATTGTATAACTAGGTCTAGACATGTACCGAGATCAAGATCGAAAGTCTCCATCTCGATCTATTTATAATCAGATCTTCATTCGAGCTTTTAAAAAAAGAATTATTTTTCCAACTACTTTGACAACATTGTCCATCTATAAAATTGCTCGTTGACAAACTATCAAATTAGATGATATCCCTTGCTTAAGTATTTCAAGTTATGTCAATAGACAAATTCGAAATTGATTGTCTGATAAGAAAACATGAAAAAGTTCTATTTTTTAATTAAATTGAAGAACTTTTCTCTTCTATGATAAATATATTGATTTCAAATAGAATACGAAAATGATGTTTTACTTTTCTAAATGATTATCGCAAGGAAATGAAGAATGCAAAATCAGCGCACACATTTAGATAACCCGAGATCGGAATACGATCAAGAGTAATATTTTTTTCATTTTTGAACATATCTTATTTCGACGAAATGAAAACAATTGATGATATAAATCGAACCTAAAGATATTTGCATCTCAAAAATCTGATAAAACAATCGCCGTGTGTGAGTACGAATGTAGACTAGACCCACACACACACCCTTCTAAGGATACGAAATAAAGAACAATCAGGGGTGCAAAACATAGATATGCAGGATGAGACTGAAAATATAATTGACGTACTTTCATCCTTTAAAAATCCGAAATATTAACTATGAATTATTATCATCGAGCTTTTCAATAAGAAAATCAAAATTTTTTATTTTATTTTCCAATTGCCTCTTGGTGGCCCGCCAATGGTCGCTAGATTAATGTGTCATCGCTCTAAGCTGTTTATTGAAAATCATTCGTTGAGAAAGAATAACGTCTTTTTCTGTAACAATATGCGTGAAAACTCTTCATTAGGCGTTCTATGCCGAAGCTATATGTTTGAATTGCTTTTCCCTTGTATTAGCTAGTCGTGGCACTTTAACTTTAAAACATCAGAGTTGAAGTCAAAAATTATTTTTAGCCCTTCTGGATCAAATCTCTGTTCGTTTAACTGCAATTTTAAACTTTAAACTGAAAGTTAAAGTACCTTAACTTAAATATTAAAGTATAAAAGTTTAATGTTTTCAAGTTAAACTGCCACTCCTACTATTAGCTTAAGAATACAAGATAATATCGACCATAAAATCACAAAAAAGAAATATATTGGATTATTTAAATTTCGAAAAACATTTGTATTTAGCTGTTGTAAAATTTTACCATTCCAACAGTCGAATCGTCAAATTTAAACTGTACCTATATTTACCATCTTTAAATATTTCATCTGTACAACTCGTGAGCTTATCTTTTTTTATGCTTTACGGAACCGGACTATGAAAAAAAACTTTTTGGATGTCAATGAATTCAAGACACGAATCGAATAGGCACAGCTACAGCATAATGAATAATAATAACCCACACACTATCCGAAGAAGTTCACTTCTTCTTTTCAAGATTACATGATCAATAGAAAAAATAATAAAACAAGTTGATATCATCAACATATCTTTTATGAAGGTGTTTGTTTTACATATAAAGATACATCGACAATCAGCTTCATTTTTCATTGTATTTCGCCGTCAATATTGCTCATAGGCTGCTTATTCTAGAGTATATAATAACGTATAATCTATCCGTTGCTCTCTCTCTCTCTCGTTTGATACATTCTTTCCACATAGTCGATTGAACTGTCTGACTATTATCATCTTTTATACAAATGAACATTCATACACATTTCGAAGATTTATCAAATGAGATTTTCTTCGAAATATTTGATTATTTACACGCACTTGATGCTTTTACTTCATTGAATGAACGATTTTTGTCTATTCTACAATCCATTCGACTCCATATTAGCATTTTAAACACATATTATGACCGAGACATTGATTTTCTTTCATCACATCTCACTTTTCATGCTCATCAAGTCCTATCACTAAAATGTTATGATACAATTCGTGATCGTTCATCTATTATTAGTTTACTATTTCAACGACATAATTTTATTAATCTTCAATCATGTCAATTTATCTCAGACAATCCATCAACTGAATTTGATAATGTTATTAAACAAGTTGAAAGCTTGAATAGACTTGTTTCTTTTTCTATCGTACAACCATCTACTGTAAATATTAGTGAGAAAAAGAAATCGGATATAACTCGAACTGTATTCATGAGCAAATCATCTTCTCTTCATTCAGTTATGCTTCGTTATAATTATGCTTACTTGGATTTATCAACTTATACTTCAATTGCTTCGAATCTTATATCACTTGATTTGTTAATATCTGGCTCATCGAATACAGTATCAGTATATTCAATTTTGCCAATTCTTCGTGTTTGCCCTAGAATACGATATCTCCATGCCATCATAAAACATGAAATTCCATCTGAAAATAATAATGTAAAGTAATTAAGTTGCATTGATAATGCCCGACGAATATTCTGTATAAAATAAGATTTAAAATATAATCTTTCCCTTTTCTTCTCTTTTAGTGTTTCAATTCAAGAAGCATTTATTAATGAAAATGATCTTCCTATATCACCACAAGTGGCATCCTTCGAATTATCGATTTTCACTACGTGTGACACTCGCTCAATCGCTTATATCTTACGTTGTTTGCCTAATCTTCTTCATTTTAAGTTTCTTCATGAATCGCCAGAAGTAGTCTAGCCATGTGCTTATGATTTGGCCAATGGTTATACATGGCAATATATGTTTGAAATGCATGTTCCATTTTTATCTAAATTTGATTTTCATATCTCAATTTTGAAAGAATATCTAAAATTAGATTTCGATGTGGTCGTAAATTCATTTCAATATTTCGTTCAGAAATATCCCGAATGGCAAATGATTATAGATCGATGGGGACCTGATGCCAAAAATCCTTGTAAGTAAAATTGCTTTAAATTGGAAANTAAACAACACTTTGATATTCACGTGAGCACTGGATCTCTACAAACTCATCTTCATCCCACACCCTCACTAGGTACCCATCCTCGCACCCACACTAGGTACCCCATCGTATAGTATAGCGGTATACTAGTACAGTTTTTATTTTGTCACAAATAGAGATGATTTTAATGAAATCGATTTTGCCGCAAATTCAAATTCCCCATCATATGGATTATGTCATTTAAAAGATCGCTCTATGATATTATTTTTGAATCGAGAAAATATCAAGAGAAATTTTTCTTTATGTTTTCAAGACTTTATACTATTACTGAGAAAAATAGTTTATTAAGTTAAGTGTTTGCCAAAAACAATGAGAAATGCATATATTGTTGTTGTAAAAACAAATTATGGAATGTATTCATTATCTCCACAGTACAACACGAATGAATACAACGGTAAAGTTCTTGCCTTGCTCAACTATTCTATCCTCGAAGTTCAGGAAACGCATCAGCAAGTCAACCTTCTGCTTGTGTTATTTCATAAACATTCCTGACTAATACACTAGGAAATATAATGATAAAGATACTTTATTCTCTTATACCAACGTTAACAGAAATGATGTCTTCAAACGTAATAAAAATCAAAACTAGAATATATCCTTCTATTTTATAACTAAAAAGAGAATCATGGATGAGAGTTCATAAATCATTTTGAGTATTTCTGTAGTCTTCGCTATAGTCTATTACAAACTGGACGATATGCATAGCACTAACAACAACAAAGAAACAAAGCATAATTAATCAAGACGACACGGCTGCTCATTCAATATAAATATGCCAAACACACAATCTCTTATCACATTCAATCATGAATTCTTCAACTGTTCATCTTCTTGATTTACCTGATGAAATGCTTATTGAAATTTTCAATAAACTTTCAACAGCCGATGTACTCAATTCGATTTGGGGTGTTAATCAACGACTAAATCGACTAGCACGTGATGCCAGACTCACACAATCTATTGATTTAACAGCGGAACAATCCTACGATGAACGATGTTCCATGTCGACTGTGATACTAGATCGATTATGTTCACACGTATTACCTCAAATTCATGACAATATCAAATCTCTTCTTGTTGAACCGTCATCAATGCAACGGATTCTTCGTGTGTGTGCTTATCCTAATATTCATCAATTAACGTTGAGTTCAATCGAATCTAAAGATTTTATAAAGTATTTATCAGGTATGAAGTTTTGTTGAGAAAAAACTTCAATTTTTATAAATGATTTTATGTATAGATAATTCACCTGTCTTACATATCTTTAAACAAATTACACACCTTAACATCTCTACTATTGAATATTACAACAATCGATCACAAATGAACTTAAATACGAAAATTTATACACGTCTTTTTTCTGTCTGCCAGCGTTTGACTCATTTGAAAATCAACGGAAAACGTCTTAGATCCTATTCGTTGTTACCAGAATATGCTTTACCATTAACCATGTGTTCATCATCGACTATAATTAAATTAGAAGTTAATGTACGTACAATAGACGATTGTTTGCGTCTGCTTGATGGACGTTTCAATCAAATGAAAATTTTAAACGTTATTATTGATTCTATTGATACTCCATTATTGAACATTGATAGTCAGGTAGTGAATTTTTTTTTGTCTGAAACTGTTAGTTGATGGATTTCGTTTTTATTTTCTAGTATATTCTACCTAATTTAACAACATTCTGCTTGACTACACGTAATCCTACACAAGAATATGATAATGTTATAGTCCCATTGCTTCGACGAATGGAGCATTTAGAAACACTCATGCTATTTCTTCTCGTTGGAAATCGACCAGAATTTATTGATGATGTTCATCTTAGCGAAGAGATACTTATTCATATGCCACGGCTGGAAAAATTTATTTTTAATATCACAACAATTGACGATGTTGTCGAAATCGACTACTGGCTTAAGAAAGATGATATTGAAGAGACAATGATTTTCAATGATGGCCTTCCTTATTTTCAATGTCGTATTGATATTTTTAAGAATGGTATTGGTCGATGTCGTCTCTGTTCAATTCCATCCATTGAATCATCTTAATTGTATCATTAACTATCTGTAATGTTTGTAACTAACCTTTTTTTGTTTAAACGAAATAAATCTAACCCTACTATCACATATTCTGTTTCTGTTGTGAGCTGCGTACAAGTTTTTATCAGTAGGATATGATCAAAATGCTGGATTTAGAAAAAACTTGTATTCAATATTAAGACAAATAAATACTATAGTCACATTGAACAATCGGAAGCAGAAAATAATTCGATTCTTTGAATATAGCCATGTGTATATGTGGCATATAATAAGTAAGTCAGAAGATGGACAATTGCTACTCGAACAAGTAAAACTATACGCTCATCGGCAACATTCCTTCAGTGAACATAATAAGATGATGTCGATATACGACATGGTAATATGTATTCTATCACTTCTCTTTTCTGATTTTCAGCTGGGTGGTGTGCACTGAAGTAGTGTATGTGATAGCAGAAGTTGATGTTTGATAACTTGAAACTATTCTCTTTTTCTTACTTATTATCATCTTATTGTTGGGTTTTTTCTCTCACTCTTTTACTGTGTATGTTTCCTTCTTTTGCCACTTTATTGTTCTCATCGTTCTCCTGTTTAAGTATTATAAAATGATGGCGTCCCCCTATAGGACCTACCAGAATCACAGAGTAATAAATGTCTACAAGCAATATTATTATTTTTATCGTTTCGATATTTCACTTACATGAGAAGAGAGAGAGAGAACATTTTATTTATTTATCGAAAAAAAGTCAGTGAACATCTCAAATTGTAAATGACCGTCAAATATAATTAATGATAATATTGTTTAATTAACTAGATATTTAATGTAAACAAAATTATAAACATAATTGATAATTCTAATTCTAATAAATATCTTAATTAAAGAGAGAATAATAGTATTGTTTAGTATCCTATTAGAAAACTAAGATCGATTATGTTGTTAATATATTATGAATAAATAATCTATGTTAGTGATTGTATAATCTATCATTTTCTTAAATTTGTGATCAACAATTAAATTATGTTGACTTCTCATCTGTTAACATAAAACGTTTCAAATCGAAAAAGCATTAGTTTAAATTTTTTCACAATTTCTCATAGACATACAATTGACTTTGAAATAATATCTTCCTACATTTATAGAATTAAACATAAAAGATAATGATCGCGGCTGGTTAATTACTCAAATGTTAGAACTCAAATGAAATTGTTAGATGATTTTAATTTAATAAAAGAGGCGTAAAATATTTCTGGTAAACAATAATTATATTCTAAATAAAATTGATCATTCGATAAAAAACCTCTTTATAATCGAGTTCATTCTTATTATCTTCATAGGTATTTTCTGACAAAAAATTCATTTATTTTATATTCGACTGAATGATATATTGGCAGACATGAAAAAATTGGTTTTATGCGAAAAAAATACCTAAAAACTGTTTAAATTGATTGCTGAGATAATACCGAAGAAAATGAAATGTACTATAATGACTATTTGAAAACTGCAAACCTATTGGATATAGAATGGTCTGCTAAAATTTATGTCTTTTATTTTTATTGTTCAATAACAATATTAAATATAAACAAAAGTAGATAAGGGTGTGGGTGTAGGTGGTCATTCAGAGCTGCAGCAACACCCACACCCACAAATACCAAATTTTTATAATTTATTTGTTTCAATCCTTAGGCTTTATTTAGTATACGGATAAAAATTAAATTAATCAAATATGAAATAAAATTAATAGAATCATTATTGACTATAGGTAATCAGAAACGTAGGATAAGCAACACGGTGTTCGTATACAATGTAAACTTTACTGCCTCCTGTTTCCCCGGCTACACTGTTATAACGTGTGTCTGATATGCTTTCGTTCTTCTTCGGAGGTCGACGTAAGGTTTGATCATTTTTGCCTTTATAATCAAAAACTTCTCCTGTTAGCACTTGAGCTAGAAACACTTGACGTTTAC